TAATATTGTTTGTTGTAGTAAATATTGTCCTCCTGAAAAAAAAGGGATGGGTTATGCCTTATTCGTCTTGTCGCCGTTGTCTACTGTTTGTGATCTATGATCTTTTTTATATTTGCCGCTAGGCGCCATCGATGCCCATCTATGTTTACAAATCTTAATTATAAGCGTCACATTGATTTCATATGTCAATTTGTTCGACATTTGTAAGTGTGTTTCTTGATTTTCCTTGTTTTTTTGGGTTGAGAAAAATAATAATTACAACAACGTTTTTAATTTTACAACTCTTACAAATGTGAGTTGGAATATCAAGACGAGTCAGCTGATTTTTTGGATATTTGTTAATTTGCCAAAGGATTAAGTAGGAAAGAATAAACCTGGGGGATTAAGATTACATGAAGATAGATGTGGGAGCCGTATTAAAATTTTTCTCCCATGCCAACAGCTTTGTTTAATGAGGTCTTAGCCGATAAGTAATTGGGGGAGATAGGTTCTTTAAGTTTAATTCAAAGACTTGGCTACATCTCATAAAGCATTTTTGATGGAAAGATGTATAATCTAGCAGTATGCATTGGTATGGAAGACCCATTAAATAACGTCAGGAAATCCAATCCTTAGAAAAACAAAATTGTGGCCTTTCGATGAACCAGTCATCCTGACGAAGGCAATCAACATTTCAAATGAATTTAAATATCTGGTATGATTCTAGAAAGGTAACTTAGTTGTAGAGATGACATCAAAGAAAAATCTAAGGAAGCTCACAGATGGTAAAAGGGCTATAGGCTTTTAATGGAAATCAGACATAATATATAGAAATAATATACGCTCACAAGTCTGGTGAATAGCTACGGATAAAAATTTTGATGCTAAAATATCACTGAAAGTCCAACGAACGTGGACCATCAAAAATTTACAGGCATTAGAGGGAGAGTCCATGGAAAACATTATATCGGACCGGATACCTGAAACTCAGGTTAAGTGAAACATTAATTCCTACCATAGACTCGTGGATCGACGGATTCCTGTCACAAATACTCTATAATCTCTTTTCCCTTACCCGATCATAATATGATCCTTTAAGCGGAGGCCCGGGCGATTGCCGGGTGTCTGAACTGGCTTAAAGCCAACACGAGACCGGCTAACGTTAACGTCCTAACGGAAAGTAAAATCGCAATCGTAAAATTCATAGCATCCAAAACTTAGAAAACTGTATTGAAATGTAAATTCAATGAACTACTATTCTCAACACGGCTCAGTACTATTTTTACTAGGTACTAGGTCATGCCGGCGACGGTCACATATCCTTATGGAACAATGCAAACGTGGGGAAAACAACAAGAAATGAGGTTAAAACAGCAAAACAAATAGAGGAAGGGGGGGGGGGGGGGGGGAGGGTGTAACAGACATCCTTACGGCTCAACTGGGCCAGCGAGCAAGTTAGAGATTTTTTTTAGACTTTTAGTCTAGAGCGTACAACAGGCCTAAACCGGCTAAATATTATGCACATGCAGCGATATTTTCCTCCTCCTTTATGCCCGAAGAGTTCATATTTTATACGATGTTTACTGTTTATTTCGAGCGAATTTTACTCCCAATCGAAAACGAGTAAAGAATGCTCGCTCTTAATCGAGTGACATACAAAAATGATCATGCATGATCAGCACTACTCCCGCTCGAATCTGAGCGAGATTCAGTCTCTACTTTTTATACCCTCCACCATAGCATAAAGGGCATATTAAGTTTGTCATTCCGTTTGTAGCACCTCGAAATATACATTTTAGACCCACAAAGTATAAATATTCTTGATCAGCATAAAATTCTGTGTCTCTCCGTCTGTGGACATAACTTTAGCTTCCGAACGAAATTAAATAAGTTGATAAAAATTGACTTAAATGTATATAATGTCTGCAGGACTTTTGGTATTGAAAATGCGCGATTTAGGTCCACGTCTTCCTATAGCCCCCTTATAACGGTACCTCCCGATATTCGGTATTTCGATATTTTAAGCGGCATTACTCACCGGAATTGTTTCAAATTTGGCATTTGAAGTTCGAAATGGATACTATAGCCTAAGACAGAAAATTGCATGTGCAGGTCCACGTCTTCGTATAGTCCACATATAGCAGCACCCTCCAATATTCAGTATTTGATGATTTTAAGCGACATTATTCACCGGAATTGTTTCAAATTTGGTATTTGAAGTTCGTATGAGATACTACAGCCTAAGACAGAAAATTGTCTATGCAGGTCCACGTCTTCGTATAGCTCCCACGGTACCTCCCTGTATTCGGTATTTTGATGATTTTAGCGACATTATTCACCGGAATTGTTTCAAATTTGGTATTTGAAGTTCGTAATGGATACTACAGCCTATGAGAGAAAAATTGTCTGTGCATGTCCACGTCTTCGTATAGTCCACATTTAGCAGTACCTCCCGATATTCAGTATTTTGATGATTTTAGCGACTTTATTCACCGGAATTGTTTCAAGTTTCGTATTTTAAGTTCGTAATGGATACTACAGCTTAAGACAGAAAAATGCCTGTGCAGGTCCACGTCTTCGTATAGTCCACATATAGCAGTACCCTCCGATATTCAGTATTTTGATGATTTTAAGCGGCATTACTCAGCGGAATTGTTTCAAATTTGGGATTTGAAATTCGAAATGGATACTATAGCCTAAGACAGAAAATTGCCTGTGCAGGTCCACGTCTTCGTATAGCTCCCATATAACAGTATAGGGAGGTACTGTTATATTCAGTATTTTGATGATTTTAGCGACATTATACACCGGAATTGGTTCAAATTTGGTATTTGAAGTTCGTATAAGATACTAAGACATTAAATTGTCTGTGCAGGTCCACATTTTCATATAGCCAGGTTTTCCTATACCCCCATATAACGATTCCTCCCCATATTCGGTAGTTTGATGGTTTTAGCGTAATTATTTACCGGAGTAGTTTCAAATTTCTACCGTATTTAGGGTTGATAATGGGAACTACAGTCTGTGACAGAAAATTGTCTGTGCATGTCCACGTCTTCGTATAGGCCCCATATATCAGTATATCCCGATATTCGGTATTTTGGGTACTATACTCACCGAAATTGTATGTATGTCGTATTTTAAGTTCGTAATGGATGCTGCGGCTGCTGTGACAGAAAATTGTCTATACAGGTCCAGGTTTTCGTACAGCTCCGATATGACGGTACCTCCCTATGTACGATATTTTGATGATTTTAGTTACAGTATTCACCGTTTATCGCAAGTTTCGAATTTGCATATGGTAATGGCTTATGACAAACAATGCCTATGTAGGTCCACGTCGTATAGACCCCAATATAACGGCTGTATTCGGTATTTTTAAGATTTTTACTAAATTTTTAATGGATTTTTTTAAAAATTTCCAAATTCATTCCAAATGGTGTAGGGTATTCAAAGTTCGGCCCGGCCGAACCTACTGCTTTTTGACTTGTTAATATTAGAAACATGTCCACACTTTTTGATATGCTTCCTTTATTTCGTGTTTGACAGTAGATTTGAGAGAGTGCTATTTAAAAAGGAGTATTTAAAATCTTTCAAACTCTCTCCCTCTAACACACCGAGTTGATCTCCTATGTTAAATCGATCAAGAATTTACAGGAATTTCCACTTCTTTAAATATCAAAAAAAATCTCTTATTTTTTTGTTTTCCTTTCCTCCGTAATCCAACTCTCAATTAAGGTTTTATTTTGTTTAAATTTACAATAAAATGCCATCCATAGACTCATAAAAATGGCAACTTTAGCTTGTAGACATAAAGTGAAGTTAAAATATGAATGGTCATAACGCCCCAGTGGTGGGCATTTTTAAAAGGGCCCATCTCTACCGGTCATTCGCTCCACATTCGTAGCTACTAGGAAAGCCAACGAAAAACGGTAGTAGGGGAGAAGGCTGGCATGGTGTGATATTGCTGATGCCAGGCAGCTTTGAGTCGACAGGCACACCATCACCACGACCTCGTCCACCCAGGCGATGATGATGATGATGGTAAAAACCGCTGATGCTGCTGTTAGTAAAACCACTGCAAACATGGTGTTGAAATTTATGGCAACTTTACAAAATGGTGCAACAGTGAGTTGTTTCAACCATGGTCTGTGTGTGTGTTGTTGTTAAAATTTCTGTTGTTTTTTTTTTCGATTCTTTTTCAACTGCAGTGCGCGAAAATATACAGCTTTGTTCGCTTACTCTGTTGTGGGATTTTGTACGTGTTGTCGTTTTTGGTAGGAGGTTTAACACCATACCACATTCAATATTCTCAGTGCAATTCACCGGGGAATGATAATATTTACATTGCAACACTCCAACCAACCAGCCAGCCAGCTAGCAGCTGTACAACAATGGTAACAACCAAGTGCTGTAAATATTGTTTTTATTTTCAGATGCTGTTTTTTCCCCTCTCTCTCTCGCTGGCCAATGCAAAATGTTTTGGAACAACCACAAATAAACAACAACACCAACTGGAATTACAATGACTCCATTGCGGCAGCAGCAGCAGTACACTTCTCCTCTGACCACAGAACCTTAATCTGCTGTTTTAAAGCATTTAATGTATTTTTGGGCTTTCCGACCAATGGCGCAAGGCATGCAAACAAAACAAAACAACATAACCTCAATGAAATTTACGATTCAACAAAATTGTATGGAAAACTTTTGGTAAGCAATAAATTTTCCTTTAAACTGTGTGCGACAAAAAAAGAAACGCACACACACATACACAGCAGTTTGAGGTTATGTTAGCAAAAATGTTGCCAAGAGTTGAACACATACGCCGGCAACACTATTCTACCATGATTTTTCCATTATTTGGAGAAAAAAATAAAAACAGAAAAAATTCCTCAAAGCAATTTGTTCAATCAATCACCATAAAAATGTCTGCAAGCGACTTCCTGCAGATTTTTTTCTTGTCTTCTTTTTTTTTGTTTTGTTAAATAAATAATTTTATCTAAAACAAAATTCCAACTTACCCTAACGCGGGCCTCTGTCAAATTTGTCCACATGGCAATTTCTTCACGTGTCGACATATCCGGATAACGATTACGACTAAAGGTATGCTCCAGCTCCTGTAATTGCTGCGATGTAAAGTGTGTCCGCTGACGTCGCTGACGTTTGTTTTTCTTATCGTTTTTCGGTTCATCGGTGGTCGTTGTCATTGGCTCATCATGACCGGAATTTGATATGTTTTCGGTTTTAATGGTCGTCTCGTTGAGGGAGCGATTGTTACCTGAAAAAGGCAAGGCAAAAAAAAAAACGGATTTTAGTCAAATAGATCAAAACAAAAATTATATGACTAATATGTCCTCTGAAGGATAATAGGTATTCCTAGCAGTGCAATTATTTTTAAACTTAAGAAGAATAACTTACAGAACGGGACTAATAACTGGAGCTATATCTTAATAGGGGCTATATCTGCAGAGATTTCAATGAAATTTGGCGGAACCGAATGTACCAAATATTATATTTATAGGGTAAATATTATGACCTTGGGAGAACTGGTGTAAAAAATGGGATGCAAATTACGAAATTACATAGACAAGCATGTATGAATTTCATCAGAATAAGATTCGAATAGACTACCAATGTACAGGGTTGCCCATATTCGACGGACCCATCTGGCAACGCCATAACTTTTGACAGAGATGTCATATCGCTTAATGACATACCGCGTTTGAAGCGTCAGTCCAAGCAGATTTTTACCATGAACCTATACACGCCACGCGAGCGCTCTGAAATAGTTGAAATTTACATTCAACAGAAGAAGTCAATTGTGAAAAAAAATGTGAGAAGTGCGCCTTCTAAGAACACCATTAAGCGTTTATACGAAAAATTTTCGACTGGTAAGGCTCTTTCTAATCCGAAGAGGCCACATAAAAGTCGACCAAGGCGATCGGCCGAGAATATCGCTGCCGTACGAGCCAGTGTTGAGAGGTCCCCAAGAACATTCCAAAAACGCCGTTATCAGCAGTTTGGTATGGCTCGGTCCACTTTACAACGGATTATTCGCATTGATTAGCATTTGTTCCCGTACAAAATTCAACTGACGCAAAGAATGTTGCCGGCGGACAAGCCTCGTCGATTGGAATTTTTTTTTCTGATAAAGAATTCTTGTCACCGATGCTCTTTAAATAATTTTTGACAAGATCTAGATTTATTTTATTGAGACTTATATTAATCTAAATCTTGTCATAGAAATTTATGAGGATGGGAGACCAGAATACTCTAGCGGAAAAATTGTTGGGTCAAGTATTGATATTTTGGTATCCCTGAGTTGATAAGCAAATATTTCAGAAACGGTTGTGTTGAATAGACAATCCTACATGTAATATTTCTAAATTTTTATACCCTCATATGGTTAGGCAGGGTATATACGGTGATACGGCCCAAAACGTGCCTCATCGAAATATCAGTTTTAGACTGGAGGTCTCTTTGGACAAAATACTTTTCAGGAAATTTGGAGTCGATCTAGCGACATTGGTTCGTTCCTTCGTCTGTCTGGCTGGCTATTGCGCACGATAACTCCCGAGTATTCGATTTGGTCCAAACTTAGCACATCGTAATATTACACGTATTATAAACTCGAGAATCCGCGTCGAGTTTGGCGATGAGCAATATCGGTCCACTTCTTCAAGTACCTCTCCCACAAAGTATCATAATTTTGAATGGCCATGAAGCTCATAAAAATCGAAATTAACATCCGATTCCATTGGGACTTTGCTCATACAGGGTGAGTTGAAAAAAATGCAACCAACTTCAGACTACCGTCATTTCTAAGCCACTCATCCGACAGGTGTTAAAATTATTCCAGTGACAGCTCATTATACTGTTTATAAGCGTACAAATGAATTTTGGTGAGAATATTCCAGAAAAAAAGATATTCGTAATGGAAATCAAGCGTGATAGTGTGATTTCTTTATATTTGGCTGGAAAACCACGAGTGGCTTTCGTTAGAGGACTCCAGCATTTAAAATGTGAATAAATCTTTTGTGTCTAGTACCATTGCTTGTTACCGTGATACTGGCAGCGCAACCCGAGGTCAAGGAATTGGACGGACGAAAACAGCAATATCAGCAGAAATGGTTCGAAAAGCATCGCAGTGGCTCGTGAGCTGAACATATCGCAATTTTCCATTCGGCAAATATTTAACATCATCTCTTGGTAAAGCCATTGAAATTCCAAAAAGTGCAAGAACTTAAACCGCAACAGAAAGAAAATAGACTCTAAAGAGCTAAAGAGTGGCTTCACTTGGCCGAAAGTGGGGAACTGCCGAATTTGGTTTTCTCCGATGAGAAAACATTCGTTCTACAGCAGTTTGTAAACAAATAAAATGATCGTGTTTACTTTTCAAAGAGGTCAGCTAACACCTTCGGTTGGCCACCCGAAACTCAAGCGCCGGCCATGGTGATGGTGTGGGCCGCGCCATAACAGCCGATGGTCGCTGTCCGCTCGTATTAATCGACCGTGGCATCAGAATAAATGCCGAATTTTATCACGAAAATATATTCTGGAGGGTGTATTAAAGCCTTGGGCACGCAAACATTTTGGCCGCAGACAATCAATTGAGAACAATCAACAGAAAGGGTTTTACATTTCGCTAAAAATTAAAAAAAAACCAGTAAAGAAAGTCTTAAAGTCGGTCAGGGCCGACTTTATGATACCCTACACCACTTTGCTAATTAAGTAGAGCTGCGCAAAACAATTAGAAGTTTTTATGGGAGAATTAAATCATACACGCTATGATTATAATTATAATTTAAAGTTCAAAGGACTAAATATGCCGAAGCATTTGTATCTTTTAAATTCGGACAATTACATGCACAATTAATTTGAAATCGGATAAAGATATATATGGGAGCTATATCCAAATCGGCACCGATTTCAATAAAATTTGGCAAAGATATTTCTGAGCTGTATTTCATATATTTCCTTGAATATCGTTGTTACGGAGTGCATATTACGGCTGTGGATAAAAAATATGACAAATTCGGATGAACAGTATATATGGGAGCTATAGCTATATCTGAACCGATCTTCACCAAATTTGACATACTAGCTTCTAGACTCAATTCGGTCGTAAGTGCCAAATTTCATCCAATTTAGGCAAATATTAGAAGTTTGGTGCACAATAAAATTTAAATCGGACGAAGTTATATATGGGAGCTATATCCAAATCTGAACCTATCTCGATAAAATTTAGGAAATTTATTTCTGAGCTGTATTTGGTATATTTCCCCAAATATTGTTGTCACAGAGTTCATATTACGGCTGCGGAGGACAAAAATAACAAATCGGATGAATAATATATATGGGAGCTATAGCTATATCTAAACCGATTTCGATCTAATTTGGCATACTTATTTTTAGGTCCAATCTGATCGTACGTGCAAAATTCCATACTATTCGGACTGATATTACACGTTTGTGTACAATAAAAGGCAAATCGGACGAAGATATATTTGGGAGCTATATCTAAATTTTGACCGATTATCTCCAATTTCAAAAGAATTCGTCCTTGGGACAAACAAATAATCTGTGCAAAATTTCATCTGGATCGGGAAATAAATGCGACATGTGCTTTGTTTACAAAAATACATGGACAGACTGACGGACGGACGGACGCACATGCATAAATCGACTCAGAATGCGATTCTATGCAGATCATCAAAAGGAAATATGGGTCTATCTCGTTTCCTTTTCCCTGTTACAAACAAATGCACAAAGACATAATACCCTGACCACCTTGTGGTGTAGGGTATAATTATCAGGGTCTTGATATGTGTTATTGAAGAAGTTATAAAATAATTCAGCGCTTCAATTATTCCAAATCCTCCTCTCCTCTTACCCCTTTTTATTTTTTTTTTTTTATCAAAAATCATTAAAAACTTATAACTAGCAAATTAACAAATAACTATTGAAAACACCCAAAATTCAAAATTTTTGATAAACCAAAAAAAAAAAAAAACAAAAATACCGAAGAAGTCATCTAGCAAAGATAAGCTACTACCTAACATTCATCCAAACGGAGACGACATTTATTGTTGACATATTAACATGATGACAAAATTTTTATTACAATTATTATGGGCAGAGTTACTATTTACCGGTAGTTCTCTGAGGGCGCCTTTACACAACACAAAATGTGATTACATCGAAAGGGAGGGGGGTACTTGTGTTGACAAATTAATTACCGAAAACTGTTTTATTATTAACACAATTAGTGTACACATAGACCCCAACAACACCTCCATTTCGAACTTCCACTTTTGTGTTACAAAATTTAACTCTTCAATACCCAGCCTATTACTCAATTGAAATTTATAATAAAACTTCAGATCAAAGCGAATATTTGTAGTACACCGCCCTGGGTCCCTATCAGTTCGTTAGCCTAAATTTATGTTTGTCTATAAACAGATTTATAGAGTTTCAAACAAAAACGTTAACGTTAAAATACCAACAAAACCAAAAAAATATATATATCGATCAATCATTTGCTATAGAGTTCTTTTTCTGGACAAAACCCGCCAGCCACTTAGCCTGGTCGAACCTATTGCTATGTTTGTATATCACAACATTCTTAAGTACTTGGGTACATGAAATCACCACAATTGTCGTAATCATAATCAAATGTTGGTTAGAAAAATGTTGCCGACAAAGGAAATTGGTTTATCATCAACTGATTTCAAGTTCGCTTCCGTCCCGTTCAGCCATTTAGTTTGCACCCCCTGCGCTCAACATGACACAATCACGGTCATGAGAATTCTAGGCGATTTATAATGGGGGGAAGAACATACATATTTATGTATGTATGTGCTGTGCGTATGATTAGCATGTGTTAGTTGACCAGTTGTGAACTGCTGCGACTTCTGTGCTTACGCATTGCCCGCTGTTTGATGATCATAAATTATCGATATTATCTGAATGTTGGCTTGTGGTCGATAACCGGTAATTTTTTGGTAGGGTTTGATTTTGGGGTGTTGAAAAATAATAGGTTGGACGAAGAGGGGAAGTACGCCTTCTGCTATCCAGAAATGTGGCAAACCTCACATAAATGTGTAGGTTATGTGTTATATTGATTTTTCGACAAATCGGAATATATAATTTACACCAATATGTAATTCTCTGAAAACGTGGACTTCACTGGGTCATAGGGCTTGTCAAAATTCAGTTAATTTCAAATGTAGAGAAATTGTACAACATTGTCTTTTTTAGGTGTTTTCTTGGTGACCACACATAGATAAAATACACTTCGGAGATTCTTCGTAGATAAAACGTATTTTCTATGTATAGAATATATATTTGAGGTCTTCAGTGGACAGAATCCATCTTGGAGGTCTTCTATGGCTAGAAATTATTTTTATACTCTCCACCATACAAAATATGGAGGGTATATTAGGTTCGACATTCCGAAATAATAATTTAAGACATAATATAGTATATACAGGGTGAGATGGAGAAACTGCAAAAAACAGACTGCTTTCATTTCTAAGTCACTCGTCCCACAGCTGTTAAAATTATTCCAGTGACAGGTCATTATATTGTTTACAAGCGTACAGAAGCATTTCGGTGAGAATTTTCCAGAAAAAAAGTTATTCGTGATGGAATTCAGGCGTGATAGAGTATATTTGACTGGAAAACCACAAGTGGCTGTCGTTAGAGCTCTCCAGCATTTAAATGTGAATAAATCGTTTGTGTCTCGTACCATCGCTAGTTACCATGATACTGGTGGCGTCGCCCGACGTCAAGGCAGTGGACGGAGGAAAACAGCAACATCAGCAGAAATGGTTCGAAAAGTAAAAAAACGACTTGATCGAAACCCATGTCTCAGTGGCCGAAAAATGGCTCGCGAGCTGAACATATCACAATATTCTATTCAGCAAATATTAAAAATTAGCTCGGGGTAAAGTCATTGAAATTCCAAAAAGTCAAGGCAGTGGACGGAGGAAAACAGCAACATCAGCAGAAATGGTTCGAAAAGTAAAAAAACGACTTGATCGAAACCCATGTCTCAGTGGCCGAAAAATGGCTCGCGAGCTGAACATATCACAATATTCTATTCAGCAAATATTAAAAATTAGCTCGGGGTAAAGTCATTGAAATTCCAAAAAGTGCAAGAACTTTCATCGCAACAGAAAGAAAATAAACTCAAAAGAGCCAAAGAATTGCTTCGCTTGGCCGAAAGTGGTAAACTGCCGAATTTTGTTTTCTCCGATGAGAAAATATTCGTTGTCCAGCAGTTTGTAAACAAACAAAATTATCGTGTTTACATGCCAAAGAGGTCAGCTGGCCACCAGAACTCAAGCGCCAGCCAAGCTAATGGTGTGGGCCGCCATAACAGCCGATGGTCGATCTCCGCTCGTATTAATCGACTGTGGTATCAGAATAAATGCCGAATATTATTGCGAACATATTCTGAAGGTGTATTAAAGCCTTGGGCACGCAAACATTTTGCCGTATACCTTGGACATTCTAACAGAACTCAGCATCATCGCATTCAGCACGCGCCACCCAAGAATGGTTAAAAATGAGGTTCCTTGCTTCATTTCTAGCGCACAAAGGCCAACAAAATCTCCGGATACCAATCCGTTGGACTTTTGTGTCTGGAGTATTTTGGAAAGCAAGGTTGGGACTAAAAAATACCAAAGTGTCGATCACCTCAAACAAGCGCTACGCCGGGAATGGGCCAAAATACCACAGAGCAACATTCGGGCAGCGTGTGACGGTTACATTGGCCGTTTGAAGGCCATAATTCGTGCCAAAGGTGACCAATTCGAACAAATCTAAATTGATTCTAAAATTTGATGCTTTTTTCCGGCATTTTTTGCTTTCATTCAATAAAATTAAAAAAAAAAAAAATGTAAAAATTATGGCGTTTGACATTGTTGCAGGTTTTTTATCTCAACCTCTATAGGTCCACGATAACGTATAGCCCACATACAGCGGTATCCCCCGATATTCGATAATTTTAGGGACATTATTTACGGGAGTTGTTTCAAATTTCGTATTTAGAGTTCGTAATGGGTACTACAGCCTATGACAGAAAATTGTCTTTGCAGGTGCAGGTCTTCGTATAGCCTCGATATAACGATACCTCGCTGTATTCGGTATTTTGATGATTTTAGCTACATTATTCACTGAACTTTTTGTTTATTTTGTTATTTTTTTTGAAAATTTCCAAATTCGTTCCATATGGTGCAGGGTATTCAAAGTTCGGCCCTGTCCCTCAACATAAATCTTGTTTTTTTTTTTTTGGTATTTTTACTTCTCTTCAAAAAAAATTGCTTGGTATTTTTGTTATTTTCATTTACTTACCATCTTTGCGATCTCTACTCCGATTGGCCAGATTCGATGATGCTGACGATGAATTTTGGAAATTATTTAGATGAGATGGTTCCAAACCATTTGCTACGGCGGCCATAGAACTATGACTATCACGAAAATCACCGGTCTCAGCCCAAACTGAAAAGAATAAACCAGAATAGACAAAGAACAAAGAAAAAATTATTTATAAAACAATAATAGGGAATAAATATTTTCAACTTATTTTGACAAAAATTCAATACCAAGTCCAATTCTGTCCAATTCAAAAAAAATTCTATAATTTATTTTTTCTTACAAATCTTTACCCAAGCCTTGAATGAGGCATGAGAATGTGAAACAATGTGCTTGAATGAGCCTCTCTAGACCATCATCAAGAACAAATAAGCAGAACCTACTTAAAATGCTATTAAATGGCTCATAAAAGGATTTATGGCCATTTATGCGGCGAGTTGTCTATATTTTTTCCGTTCTTTCTCGTTTCGTTTTTTTTTTTTTTTTTTTTTTTTTGCTACTTTCAAATCTAATGGGCCCATTGGTGGCTAAGATTGTATTTCTTATGGTTGGATTTTATGTAAGTTTTTTTTGTGTTTTTTTTTTCTTCTTCTGTGAGATAGGGATAAGACTACAAGTTGTTGCCTCTTGTCTGGATGCAATTTCAATAATGGCAATTTAAGATACTTGACTAGTCTGCGGCCGTACGAGCAGTGGTTGCAATATAAATTAAATTAATGGAATTTCTTCAACTTTAAAGGGGGTTTGAAAGGGGATATTACTATTCTTATAGTAAAAAATGGTTAGAAGAGAAAATTTGCTGAAAACTTTCTAAAAATTCTAAGGAAACTATTTATTTGATAGAAGACTTATTCAATATAACAAGAAAGATTTTTTTTACAGATGATAACTTTTCTATACAGCAATTCCCTAAATTTAATTTAAGAGCCTGTCTTTGAAATTTGTTGAAAATCGTTTCAGATATAGCTATATTTCATCCAATATTATATTTAAGTCCTGCAAAGCCATAATATACACTCCATTACAAAAACTGTCAGTACGATATATATTTCAGACAAGGACTAGAGTATCTTTGCCAAAATCGGCTCGGATTTGAGTATAAAATTTAATATTTTTTAATTTCTATTTCTGAAAGACCTACTGACCAAGAAACGTGGATTTTTAAAGAACTCAATACTATTTCTAAGACTTCCTGGCCAGGAACCGCGAATTTCTTAAATATATTTTTCACAAGACTTCCTGGCCAAGAATCGTGGATTTTTTTTAAATATTTTTCAAACAACGTCCTTTGCAAAATTTCAGGTATTTTGAAAACAGTTTCATTAAAACCTTCTTGGACAAAAATCGTGAATTTTTTTAAAATATTTTTTAAAGGACTTCCTAGGTAAGAATATTAATAGTGGATTTCTTAAATATATTTTTCTAAGGATTTCCTGCTCAAAATATCGATTTCCTTTTAAAAATGTTTTCCAAAGGATTCACTTGCCAAAAAGCGGAGATTTCTCGAAAATATATGTCAAAGATTTTCATGGTCAAAATTCGTGGATTTCCTGAAAATAGTTTTCAAAAGCCTTCTTGGCCAATAATCATGATTTTCTTTAAAACATTTTTCAAATATCTTCTTGGCCAAGAAGTGGGGGATCTCTTAAAAATATTTTTTTTTTTTTTTTTTGAATTGCAGATTTTCTTTAAATATTTTCCCAAGACCTTCGCGGATTTTTTAAAAATATTTTTCGAAAGATTTCCTCTTCAAGAATCGTGGATTTTTTTAAAATATTTTTCAAACAACGTCCTGTGCAAAATTTCAGGTATTTTTAAACAGTTTCGTTAAAACCTTCTTAGACAAAAATCGTGAATTTTTTAAAAAGACTTTTTAGAAGGACTTCCTAGGCAAGAAACAAGATTTTTTAAAATTTTTTATTAAATTTTTTTTTTTTAATATGAATAGTGGATTTCTTAAATATATATTTCTAAGGATTTCCTGTTAAAAATACCGATTTCTTTTAAAAATGTCTTCCAAAAGATTCACTTGCCAAAAAGCGGGGATTTCTCGAAAATATCTGTCAAAGATTTTCATGGTCAAAATTCGTGGATTTCCTGAAAATAGTTTTCAAAAGTCTTCTTAGCCAATAATCTTGATTTTCTTAAAATTTTTTTTTCAAATATCATCTTGACCAAGAAGTGGGGATGTCTTAAAAATATTTTTGTTTTGAATTGCAGATTTCCTATAAATATTTTCTCAAGACCTTCGCGGATTTTTTAAACATACTTTCCGAAGGATTTCCTATTCAAGAATCGTAGATTTTTAAAAATATTTTTCAAACAACGTCCTGTGCAAAATTTCAGGTATTTTTAATCAGTTTCGTTAAAACCTTCTTGAACAAAAATCATGAATTTTTTAAAAATATTTTTTAAAGGACTTCCTAGGCAAGAAACAAGATTTTTTTTAAAATTTTTTATCAAAAGTTTTTTTTTTTTAAATATGAATAGTGGATTTCTTTAATATTTATTTCTAAGGATTTCCTGCTCAAAATACCGATTTCTTTTAAAAATGTCTTCCAAAGGATTCACTTGCCAAAAAGCGGGGATTTCTCGAAAATATCTGTCAAAGATTTTCATGGTCAAAATTCGTGGATTTCCTGAAAATAGTTTTCAAAAGTCTTCTTGGCCAATAATCGTGATTTTCTTTAAAACATTTTTCAAATATCTTCTTGGCCAAGAAGTGGGGATCTCTTAAAACTATTTTTGTTTTGAATTGCAGATTTCCTTCAAATATTTTCCCAAGACCTTCGCGGATTTTTTAAAAATATTTTTCGAAGGATTTCCTATTCAAGAATCGTGGATTTTTTTTTAAATATTTTTCAAACAACGTCCTGTGCAAAATTTCAGGTATTTTTAAACAGTTTCGTTAAAACCTTCTTGGACAAAAATCGTGAATTTCTTTAAAATATTTTTGAAAGGCTTTCCTAGGCAAGAAACAAGATTTTTTAAAATATTTATATCATTTTTTTTTTTTTAAATATGAATAGTGGATTTCTTAAATATATATTTCTAAGGATTTCCTGCTCAAAATACCGATTTCTTTTAAAAATGTCTTCCAAAGGATTCACTTGCCAAAAAGCGGGGATTTCTCGAAAATATCTGTCAAAATTCGTGGATTTCCTGAAAATAGTTTTCAAAAGTCTTCTTGGCCAATAATCGTGATTTTCTTTAAAACATTTTTCAAATATCTTCTTGGCCAAGAAGTGGGGATCTCTTAAAAATATTTTTGTTTTGAATTGCAGATTTCCTACAAATATTTTCCCAAGACCTTCGCGGATTTTTTAAAAATATTTTTCGAAGGATTTAATATTCAAGAATTGTGGATTTCTTAAAAATATTTTTCAATCGATTTCCTGGTCGAGAATAGTATATTTTTGGTCATGAATTTGAGATTTCCAGAACAAACGTCCTACTCATGGACGTCTTCTAAGCTTTCTATATATACAAGACCTATCCATGAACAACACATTGCAGCCATAGAATATATCTGTAAACTACAGAATACCCTTTTTACGACATTATTTAAGTCAAAATTGTTAATTAGTGTTCGTTTATTCCATTCTCATAATTATTGAAAGAGGAAAATTTCTATGGATAAGAGAGCCCTTCTATAAACCAGAAAAAGACCTTTTCTGAAAAAAGAGGATATTTTATGTCCATGACAGAAGATTTCCATTGTTCAACATCCGTGTATTCCATGCTCTATGCAGATGCAAGAAGTTTTCCCAAGGAAATGTTTCCGATTTTCCCCTCATTCTTCATTTTTCTTTTCCCCTCCATTGTAATGAATAATTAGCCATGGGAAATCTGTATCATCAATTAACATCGATTGCCTCATTATTCCCTTTACCCATTTTGGAAATGAAGCAATTGCAAGTGTCTTCCACGCCTGACACATGCTACAGCCCTTGATCGTGGGGGCATTATTGTTGACATTAACAACCTGTGGCGTGTCAAATATGCATCTCCTTACATGGAATTTCAACACAAAATTCTAGACCTCAAATGGCAACTGGGACATATGCTCTTCTCTTTCGCTGTGTTATGCTCCGTTCCGAAAATCAATAAAAATTCAATGAACAAATCTTCGGGGAATAATGTCACATAAAAATGTCAGTGTTAGATGAATTATTGTCCCCGCCTACCCTCACCTCTCCCCACACCAAGGAAATTGAGAGCCACTTGAAAAGTCATTTGTTGTTGCCCCAGCAAATGTTTACATTTGGTCCAAGTGTTTTCGAGAGGTGTTTTAATTTACAGCATTTTCAGGAAAATTATAAAATAATGTTGCTGCTGGTCTTCGGTAATGTGTACCAAAGTTAATGAATAGCCTCATAAGATTTTTTATGGGCCAATGAACCATAATGGAGTAATTTTGATTTATAACATTCGTGGTAAGGTTTGCGGATGGAGGAAATGAAGACATCGAAAAGGTAGGCAAGGTAGGACGCTATGTTGTTTTGCACGACATCAATACTTGTCTCTTCTTTTTTGCATTTCAACATATCAATACGACCCTCTTTAAAGGTATGTTCTAGTAATTAATCTAATACAAAAATATAAATTAAATATAAAAACGAAAGAAATTGGTTTTTATATTTAATTTATATTTTTTCATAAAAATAATTTTATAAAAAAAAATTATAATATATATTGGAGATGGGAAACATATCTTCATTGTCTATTATTAAATTTTATTGCCACTATATTCTGCACAAAGAAGAACAACACGTTTTTTAACAACAAATTTCGTAACTTGCCACAAAATCTGAAATATTTCAAATAATTTTGCAATCCACCAGCATGTCATGGAATTGTCAACAATCTATGTACACGTGTATGGTTGCTATGTTTGTTTTGGACTGTTGCATTTCAGGGCCGATTACATTTTTATTATTGAGCAGAGCATCTGTTGACTATAAAAATATTTATTTTAAGAGCTATGCCTTTTTTAACAAAATCAAAAACAACAAGAACAACTATTTTTTTGGAAATTCTAAAAAAGTCACGTACCAAAAGATGTTCTGTTGATGGGAGATTTGTGTGTTTAAAGGGAAAGTATATTTATACCCTACACCACATAG